GTGAATATGGCTCCTAAATGGCATAAAAGAGAAATAGTGGATTTTTTTTTATTTAAGCATTTTTAACTTTAACCCATTGAAAAGAAACAGTTTATTTATTTAGAACTTTATTTATTAATAAATTAAAATCAAATTATGTTTTGTTTGTCGCATATAGTCAACTATTTATATGATGTGGGTAAATGGTGTGTTTCAATCCAGCTACTAGGGGTGTCAAAATTAATTGTTTCTTCGGTGCACCGCGATGCAGACGCGGACAATTCGGTATCGGTTCTGTAATAATCATAACCGGTTATTATGTAGTGACGTCATTTATCTCCTATGCGCTCTGTCGCGAGGGAGGTGAGCGCGAGTATTTACAACACTCAGCCAACTCAGGCCCGGCCCGTGGCATAGGCACCATAGGCATATGCTAAGGGCGCTGTACATCCAGGGGGGCGCCAGAAATGAGCGCGGTTCAGTTGGTTTTGTTTTCGATTTTCCTGACACACATTCAGTTGTAGAAGGCATTAACTCAAAAACCTCTTACCCTAAAAAGATCTAAAGTGTGTTTCCTACAAAAAGAAAAAGCTGGTTATGTTTCACAGCTGTCTTTTTTTTTTTTTTTTTTTTTTCCGCTGGACATTACGAGCACTGCTCCGTTTAAGCCCTCGCAATATGTGTTTAGCCGGGAGAGCTCGCACTGAGAGGAGCTCTCAGTAAGGGACCGTCGGAAAAGTGCTTCTTTTTTTTTCGTTTTTCTGCTCCGCTCAGCGCGAGCTCTACCTGTTGCGAGGGCTTAAGTGTGTGTGTGTGTGTGTGTGTGTGTGTGTGTGTTTGTTTGTTTGGTGCTGTCTATGTTTGTGTATGTGTTTGAATGACAGACAGTGTGTTGCTGTGTGTCTGTGTGTTTATACAGACAGCTTGTTATAGCCTCCCCCCTAAAATATAACACTGTATATAGAAAGCATCGTCAATGTACCGTGATGCACCGAGATATCGAATTGAACCGAAGGCATGATAATCATAACCGAACCGAACCGTGAGACCAGTATAGGTTCACACCTCTACCGGCTACCACCGCAAGAATATCTCAAACCTGTGGGAAGTGCTGTAAAATAGCAGCGCACAACTAGCAGAGTTGTAAAATGAGTTAATTTAAATAAACAAAATGGAGTGTTCCTTTAAACTCCTACGAAAATGTCAATGCAATAGATATAGCAACAAAACAAAGTGCTATTTCCTTAAATGCAGCATGAGCGCACTCTTAAATAAACAACAGATAAGCTATTAAAAACATTTGTTTACAAATGACCTCCAATTAAAATGGCTGTGCAATTAACTGACAGTTTATAAAGTAGCTTCCGAGAAAAGGTTGTGCATCAATTGTTTTCAGATTCCATGTGTGTGTGTGTGTTTAATAGTGACATTCAGACATCTGAAGTGTCTCTCGAGTGTCCGGATGCCTTCAGGGGTCACTGTATACTCTCTCTCTCTCTGTGTTTTTGTGTGGCCTGTTGACAGCTGCTAGATCTGCTAAGCTCAACCATGAGGTGAGACATGGATGTATTGCACCTAACAAGTAAACTTTCCAGCGCTGGCCGGAGGGCATGGCTCAGGCCAGCGGACCATGTGTATGTATGAGCATGGCAACCGGGCATTTACACGCCATAAACACTGGGCAAATGAGGAACGGGCGAGCAAGGTCACCATAGAGGACTGACCTGCTCCATTATAATGAGCTCATCTAGAAAGAACAGCACGTCTGCTGAGCCAAACTGCACACTGCATGTGCTGATGCGCTGGGATTATGCTATTGAGAACAACATGTTAACAAGAGCACGTTCAAAAAGAGGTTGAGGGTTTTCTTTTAAGTAATATTATTTATTTACATTTATTTATTAGATTTTTTTCCCCTCAACTCACTTGGACGGCATCTTTTACCAGTTTATTATATGTAAACATTGAAAATGTTGTTTTACTGTATTTGACCTTTGTTACTGACCTGGTTTTATTTTGTATATTCAAACCAATCATAGATTTATACACTAGATATCGCACACGGAGCCTGAGCATGCGTCAACAGCGCCGCCATATTGGTACAGTGCTCCCAGGACAAATGTCATTCAGCTGCACTAGTCAAGATTAAAGCCAATGTGAAGATGCTGGACTTTAGCGCTGTGTATGGGTGTAGTAACGAGCGAACATAGAGGACAAAGGCAGAACATTTCATAGGTAAAAGTTTTCGTTATTTACGTTTTTTAATTGTTACGAACTTTTGTGCTAAACAGGTAACAATATTGATGATAATACAGTCACTACTGCATTGACCATAAGGCAAAGTAGCAGCAACTAGTACTAAATACCAGGTTTATGCTATTCATAATTTATGCATTCATTAATTATGATCTTTATGATCATAAATAAAGATCTTTCAAGTTGACTTTAAAATAAAATATAGCTTCAGTCTTTCTACATCAAATGTTCATGTTTGATTTCACAGGTTTGTTACAGAAATTGGTCACACTTTACAATAAGGTCCATTAGTTAATGTTAATTAGTGCATTTACTAACATGAACAAACAATGAACAATACAATACTACTACTGTATTTGTTCATGTAAGTCAATGTTAGTTAATAAAAATACAGTTGTTTCATGTTAACTTATGGTGCGTTAACTAATGTTAACAAGCATGGACTTGAATGTTAATAATGCATTAGTAAATGTTCAATTATGATTAATAAACGCTGTACAAGTGTTGTTCATGATTAGTTCATGTTAGTAAATGCATTAATTAATGAACCTTATTGTAAAGTGTTACCCAAATCATTTCTGTCAAATTAACTGCGAAATTTCCCAACTATTTCAATCTCTACTTTATTTTTGTATTCGGATCAATACTGCTTGTTGAAGAACAGCTTTAATTTTCATCAGGAAAGTCTTTCAAACAAACTTTTGATGCTTGCTTTTGTTAATTTTTAACGACCCAACCCTCAAACACGGGCGTGATTCCAGTGGTCATTTTGACTTAAATGACTACTAAAGTGAGACTGCACTGAAACTAAGTGAATGCCACTGCAGTGCCCTCTTCATTCCTCCCTCATATGAGCTTCTGTGTCTCCAGCAAAACACAGCTCCTAATAAGGAAGAAAACTTCACCATGTTCATCTCAAAACTGAGCACAAACAAAGCCGGAGAAGAGGCAAAACCCAGATCTGCTCAATATCTGCATTCAATTCAATGCACACATTCAAGAGCTGAACAGTTCATTACATTAAACAAATGCAAAGATCCATTGAGCTACAGGATGCTAAAAATGTATGCTAAAACATGTAGGCCAGTCAAAACTATAATGATCTGCACTATTTGTGCATTTCAATTGATTAAGTTTTAATATAAACAATAAATGTGCACTTAAAAATTAATCCTTCGCTCAAAATTTTATGTATGTTTAAACAACTTATTTAAAAAGAGTTGAAACAACACAATGCTTTAGTTTTTTTGGGGGGAGGGTACAACTTATTCGTTTTTTACAAATATAAGTGGATTGAACAAAACAATTAAGTAATTCTTTCTTTATGGTCTAATTCTTTCATGTTGTCTCAACACAAATCGATTGTGTGGAACCCAGCATTTTTAGAGAGTGTTTATTGTTTATTTAGGACATCAATTGGTTTTATTTCATTTTGGAATGTGGTTCCAATCTTGATGGTTTTGTGGGTCTCGTCTATCAATTCTAATCTTTACTTTGTATTTTCTATTGGATTCAAGTCAGGTGATTGGCTGAGCCATTCTACAGCTTGGTTTTCTTTCTCTGAAAGCATCTGAGAGTTTCCTTGACTGTGTTTTGGATCATTGTCTTGCTGAAATTATCATCTGGTTTTATCTTCATTATCATGCTACTGTAGATGTTGGACTGAAGCAGCTAATATTCATTTACAATGATGAAGGGCAGAGGGTTGCTGAAGAACTACTGTGAGATTTCAGCTGCTGTCTGGGCTTTCACTGCTTTTCTATACCTCACTTTCTTCATGTGTTCAATACTTTTTCCCTGCACTACTTCATTTTATTACAAAAACCCTTTTAATACAAACTTAATTTTTAAACTAATTAGAAATGTTTTCTTTGCATTAATGGATTTCTTTGGTTGTTAAAAACATCCAGGGAATATTTAAAGTGAACGGCACCTATAGAAATATATTTTTTGAGCAAAATGGTGACGTGTTTAATACTTATTTCCCCGCTGTATGTTTAAAACTCTTAAATTTAAGTAACTTAATTGATTTGTGTTGGGATAACACGAATGAATTGTGTGGAACCCTGCATTTTTTTAACAGTGTACACTGTAAAAATGTATTCATTGCCTTACTTGAAATGTTGACAATTTTTATAAATTATGCACATGGTTAATTTACTAAATTGTACTCACTTTAAGTCAACACATTGCTTTTAAAGCAATGGGTTCAATAACTTTTATAAAGTCAACTAATTACTTTTAACAATAAAAGTACTGTAAATAAGAAAACGATTACAAAATTAATAATAAAGATAACAGCAGTCTATCAAATGGCTCTGATAGTGTGTCTCGAAACCAAGTGACTATTATTAGGGTTAATAAGGATAATAATAATAATAATAAACACATCTCTATTACCCAGATCAATAACATAATATTAAATTAACACAAAAATAAATACATGTAAAATAAATAAAATAAGCTAATAATGAATTGAAACAATCAATAAATAAATCTTCACCGAATAATTATAGAAATGTAATCAAAAATGTATTCTATATAATCTACTGCAATATTTAACTAGCAAAACAAATAGATATGTAATGTAACTACACTTTACATAAAAATAAAAAAAAACATCATTAAATCGATCTATTATGATCTGTTGTTTTATATAAGGGTTAAAACTCGTAAATATGCTTCTAAATAAAAAAAGATGAGCAAGTCTGCTGTGCTCGGACCCCTCCTCTTCTTCCTCCATCTCTGATCTGCTCTTTCTCCACCCTTCACTAATACTGCCATAAACTTTCAGCACTCCAGAGCACTGCCACAGATCTAGAAGAAAACCACAGCAGCGCCACCCAACACCAAACACTGTCCATCTACAACTTCAGGTAGGTCATATTTTTCATACGCTTATTGTATCAGTGTGTTAATGGGCAACAGGGATCAAAAGTTCATTAAAGTCAAAGATCAGAAGCATCTCTTCATGAATAATGCATTTTCAGGACAGTGCGTCAAGTTGAAAATAGATTGATTAACAAAACAAAACAAAAACTCTGTGTTTTTGTGTTTTTTCTGTGCTAATGTAGCAAAACAAGTAATAGCTTTGATCATGATTTTTTTTTCTTTGTATAGCAATATGTAGCAAATGTTATGTTTAAATAAGCATATGATATGTTGCTAATTTGCATAAACTTCCATCAAAAAAACAAAAACAAATCTGAACGTCGGATGGAGTCAGGTTCAAAATTGTCACATGATTTAATTTTATTCGAGGGAAAAAATTTTATAGAGAGGGTCTACTTATAATCACCATTTTATCATAATTAAAAAAAATTATAAATAAAATAATATTCCATTAATTCTACTTTATAAATATTGCTTTTTTTTTAAAGTCAAAACAGTAATAGATATAAAGACAATTCCACAGTTGATTAATTGCATACCTTTTTTTTAGTATTTAATGATTTATAAATTAAATTTAAATATATTTCTAAATTAAATATAAATATAATTTAAATAATATTTTCTACATTTCAATAAAATGTGTTACAGAGGGGGTTTCAGGCTCCTGTTTTTATCTGAAACATGCTTCACTGGCGACAAAACAGTTAAACAGTCCATCTGCAGCCACAATAACGAACGAACTTTACTTTTTCTTTACTTTTACTCTTTACTTTATTCTTTACTTTCGCGGAGTAAGGAAACGGTGGAAACTCACTCCACTAAAGACATTCATTAGCCGACATATTTATTTTCATTTGTTAAGCTCAAAGATTTGTTTAAAAACTATTTCTAAATTCAGTTCTAATGTACAGCAAATACATTATTAAATGTATAGTTAAATCCAAACACACGTCCTATTCCTATGCCCCATATGGTGATGTAGATGTCTCCAAAACATGACAGGTGGGCAAATCTAAGCTTGTCTACAATAAAAGAAATATAAATATGTATATAATATGCATATAATAAATAATACTGCTAATTATAATAATAACATTATACAACTGCAAATTGTCATGAATAAACTGAAAGAGCCCCCCACCCCCACCCATCACCACCCCACCCCCCCACCCCCGAGATGAAGGCACGGAGGCAGTGATTTTTATATTTATGGAGAAAATAATATTTTTGTAACATTTTAAACCTTTATTTTATCATCTGTAAAGATATTTGTGTACTGCTGTACATCCTGTCTGTATTAAGCAAAGCATACACGATTTGACTCACATAGGCGCATAACTAACACGGTCTGTGCTAGATTGTAGACCTGCTTTTAGTTTGTTAATGGTGCAGTCTATTTCAGTTTCTCAAAACAGCCTTCCTCAGCAATGCACCTTAACACACCTCCTTTCTAGACCAGCACACCCATAAGTCCACAATGTGGCACAAATGGATTTAGGTCCCACTTTATATTAAGTGTCCTTAACTACTATGTAGTTGCATCAAAAATAAATGCAATGTACTTACTGTGTTCATAATGTATTTGAGAACACTTGTGTGTGCTTTTGAGTTGGGATAGGGGTTGGGTATGGACAGGTTTGGTGGTATGGGTAGGTTTAATGGTGGGTTAAGGTGTAGGGAATGGTCAGCAGAGTATTTACAAATGTAATTACAGAAGTTATTTACAGATGTAATTACATACAGGTATTTAATCAAGCATAAGTACACAATAAATACATGTATTTACACAATAAGTACATTGTAACAAACTATTAATTCCCATGTAAGTACATATTAGTTAAGGCCACTTAATATAAATTGGGACCTGGATTTATTATTTAAACAACGAGGCACAAAATGTGAAAATTACAGTTGCGTTCGGTTGAAAATAACAACAAATCACACCGAACACATCCTGCATCTTATTGTGCTGGGTGTAAGATAGTGCCTAAAACGATATATAAATAAAACTGTGCAGTTTACTGTATGTTAGAGCTGCTAAAGTAGAGATTTATGACTCTATGTGGGAGAAAATATCACTTTGAGATGTGTAATAGTTGAAACCTAAAGAAATGAATTGATAGTGTGACAAAAGAAACTCTTAAAAGCGTATTTCAGATGTCTTTTTTATATCAGCCTGAACAAACATTTTACAAGAAGCTAAAGAAAGCAACATTTTGCCTTAAACATCGTACATCCTAAGATGGAGAAAGCTATTTTAAACATTTATTTTTGCACATCCCTACCAGTGCTATATACATATGTATCTCCATTAGAACGAAAAACACATTCTGGTGATGAATAATCAGATGGTTCTTCATCATTTGCTCTTAGTGTTTTGTAATGCGTGTCTGAAAGCTGCAGGAGTTGGAGATGAATCAGTGTTGTGATGTTTTGGTTGCTGTATGTTCATGTTAAACTAAGATCCAGACACAAATGCTGGAGACGTGAGCTAGACGGACACAAATAAGCTCTGCGCTTTCACTGCGGCCCTGCAGAGTCAGAAAATGTACCTGCTTTATGTAGAGGAGACCATTAATGCTGGTTTAACCATTGACTTCCACAGTGGGAAAAACATACTATGGAAGTCAATGGTGATAGCTTAACAACTTTCTTCAAAACATATTCTTTTGTGTTTGACCGAATAAAGAAATAAATGACGGTTTGGAAACACTTGAGGGTGAGTAGTATATTTTAATTTCTGGGTGAACTATCCCTTTAAATCGCAAGGGAGTTCCTACAGAATCTCAAACAGGAACAAGTAGAGGATGAGTAATTTCATCTCTTTAAAGCAACACAATGACAAAAAAGGAACATTAATAAATACCAATATACGACTGCATCCACACATCCCTTTTCAGTGTAGCCAAGTTTGCCCTACAGGCAGTTCATCAGACACTGTCCTACCTGCAAAGAGTCATGACCTCTGAAGCCACAAAAAAAAAAATACCTCTGCATTGCTCTGTGATGCCATCATGGAAAGTTCAGCAATGAGGCCAACTGAGTGCACTCGCAGCTGGACTTATTGCACAGTGAAGCTGCCAGCGGAGGGTAAAAAATGCATATAAACAAGAACAGGCTTGAGAAATCTCCAGGCTAGCTTTTTTCCTTCTTCGGTGCGATTTCCATCTTATTTTAGCTGCGCTTGTTTTACTTCTTCCCAAGCTTTCTTGGCTCATTTTAATAGATTTTTTTTTTCTTTTTGGCAAAAGGATGATGTCTTGAGATAGTTGATAGGAATCTGCTCTGAATGACCATATGAGGAAGGGTCTTCAGCCATGATGGCCTCTTGAGGAGATTGTTAATGATCTTATCATTCCCGCTGGTGATGGTGGACGTGACCCCTGACTAGCTAACTAGGGTGCTGGAATGTCGTTTCGCTGTGGTGTTGACAAACATCTCTCCAACACCCGTCGGCACCGGCAGTGTGTTTATCTCCACCGCGTCATATGTGCCGCTGTGTGGGCGCCTGAATAGACTGAAGCACTCCAGACTTCACTGTCAGTCAATCGCCTACTTCACTGCTCTCCCCAATGACACTGGACAGATGGACACTATGAATACAAGTCACTAGGAACCAAAGCATCACCTACTTTTGTGAAGTTGGTCAACTTGAAAAAGCAAAACAAAAAACAACATCAAAAATATTTGAAAGCCCAAAATGTTCATCAGTTAATCTTTGGAACGCAAGATTTCTGTCCCTCTGCCGAAAGTCAATTCACAAATTCATTGTTAAATAGTCAAATAGTTCCAACCCAGGCTTATTCTGATTACGTACCCTTATATACATTTCTGGAGAGCGCCAAATAGGTCCCAGGAGCTTTTTTTGCCGTTTTTGTCTTCACGAATTTACCAGAGGCCGCTGAGTTCGCAGATCTCAAATTTCTCTCGCGAGTGCTATTCGCACCTGTTGTCCTTGTGTAAATCCACCAGAGGCCGCTGTCGACTGACTGATCTACTGACTGCCCAACTGACCGATAACCCCACCCCCTTCCCTAAACCCAATCAAGTGTTTTCAAAAGCACAAATTGACCCGCCCACCCCTTCCCTACACCCAACCAAAATTTTTAAAAAGCAATCAAGAAAAAGAAAAGCCCCCTGATTCTTACTACATTTTCAGATTTTACCATATTCTCACCCTGTTAATTACTTGTTTATTTTATTTTTTAGCTTTTGTCTAACCTTCCATTGTCGCGGTCAACTGTCCTTGGTGTCTCAAGTCACCGACGTGCATGTCGAGCAACTAGACAAACTGGTAACAGTAGCAATGCCATCCATACGGAGGCAGGCGGTCAGCTGGTGAGCGAGAAAAGGAACAGCTTCATACAGCGCCGTAGCGTTTGTTTTATGAATGAAATGCAGCCACACGTAGCTACATAATTCTTAATCTCTAGACATGTATATACAACTATGTTTTCAGAATGAGCCGCCTGTGTCGGATAGTTCACCTAAAATTTTCAAATCGGTCACGACAATGATTTTCATTCTTCTGTTACACTCAAATGAAGATATTTTGATGAAAGCTGGAAACCTGTATCCATTGATTTTCCGTAGTATTTGTGCTTGGATTTGGATTTGCCATAACTACTGTAGGGATGTGCAAAATGGTTTATTACAAGAATCTGTGCAAGTTTTCAATAAGACCGGTTTTGTGTTTAGCATTTTGCATGTTGTTGGAAGATTTTAGACTTCATACTTAAACTTAAAACCCAACCATCATAGGGTGAGGTGTTTAGAACAGAACAAATTAGCTGAGACTTCATTTACACTCATGGGTTTTTGTTTTAAAGCCACATTTTAGAATGAAAACACTCCTCGTACAGACAGTTTTTTTTTTTACAGTGTTTGATAAAAAAGGTCTGCCTCCACACTATCAAGCTAAAAAGATTATGGCATCCATACTTGCGGTCCACCGGTTGTATAATGGTTAGGGATGCTCGGATCG